GCTGAGGGAGCGCCGCACTGTCGGAGGGTCAGTAGTGTTTGCTCCCTCACTTTCTGGTCTGTTTAGGAGATTCATGGAGCCTTCGGTTTCTCTCCCTGAACTTGCAATCAATCCGATTTAAAAATTTCTGATCTTGGGCCCCAAGTGGGATAGGTGCAGAATATGGGTTGGGAATCAGCTCCTGGGATCAGGCGGTGGCTGAGATCAGTTCCCAGGATTGGTTGGCTGGGATCAGGTTGGTGCTGACCCGTTCTGGCACAGATTAGGTTTAGTTGGGAATGTGCCGTGCAGCAGTTGAAGTGGCTCTGCCTTGCTGTGGAGAGCGTGTGGTGAACACCTTCCTGTCCTAAGGTCATGTACACTTACATTCCACACACTTCATTGCTCTGGCCGCAGTTTCTGGCATCTGAGTGGTCAGCCTGAGACACAGGAACTGCCTGGTTGCAGAGCAGTGACCCCAAAACAAAAATACTGGACAGAAAGGCAGGACACAGCAGACATGAGATGAATCAGCTGGAGACTGGACCTTTGGTATGAAACCACAGGAACCTCAAGGTGACCCTTACCCAGTCTAGCCTAACCAAGTCCAGATTCACAACACCGTTACATTTTTATTGCTGTCTGAACAGACCCAGCTGGTTGTTATTTTATTCAAGAAGGCAGCTCACTAGCACATTTTCAAAACTAATAAAACACCAGAGAATATCTGACATAGAAATGCAATTTTCAATATATGTTTGAAGGCAAAATGTAGCAAGAAATCTCAGGAACCATACTAAAAGGAAGTGATCTGAATATGATATTTTTACAATTTGGAAAAACGTTGAATAGAAGGGCAACTACAACTGGGCAATAAACAAGTCTTGACAGAGACATGCATTTCTGGTCCATAAATTAAACAAAAATCTTTAACACTCACACAGACTGATGCACACAGACAAAAAGAAAACAAACAGAAACACACACACAGACTGACACAGACAGAAACACACACACAGACTGACACAGACAGAAACACACACACAGACTGACACAGACAGAGGACACACACACAGACAGACACAGACAGAAACACACACACAGACTGACACAGACAGAAACACACACACAGACTGACACAGACAGAAACACACACACAGACTGACACCGACAGAGGACACACACACAGACTGACACAGACAGAAACACACACACAGACTGACACAGACAGAAACACACACACAGATTGACACAGACAGAGGACACAGACAGAAACACACAGTAAATAGTGTGGAGCTGAAGATCAGGCAGTGTCAGAGGAGCAAGAAAGTTGATGTTTCGGGTTTACACCCCTCATCAGGTGTAAACCCGAAACGTTGACTTTCCTGCTTCTCTGACACTGCCTGACCTGCTGCGTTCCTCCAGCTCCACACTGTATTGACTCTGACTCCAGCATGTGCAGTTCTTGCTATCTCCCAGCAACACACACAGGCAGACACAGGCAGAGAGACAGACAGAAACACACACACACAGACTGATACAGACAGATATACTGATAAAAACATACATACAGACTGATACAGACTGACAGACACTGAAACATACACATAGTCATACAGTCATAGAGGTTTACAGCTTAGGAACAGACTCTTCGGCCCAACTCGTCCATGCTGCCCAGTTTTCACAATTAAACTAGTCCCATTTGCCTGTGTTTGGTCCATATCCCTCCATAACTATCCCATTCACGTACCTGTCTAAATGTTTCTTAAATGATGAAATAGTACTTGCTTCCACCACTACCTCTGGCAGCCCATTCCAGACCCTCACCACCCTCTGTGTGAAAAAAAACTGTCCCTCTGAACCCTTTTGTATCTCTCCCCTCTCACCTTAAGTCTATGCCCTACAGTTTTAGACTCCCCTACCAATAGGAAAAGCTGTTGGCTATCCACCTTATCTATGCATCTCATGATTTTATAGATCTCTATAAAAGGTTACCCTTCAGTCTCCTCTGCTCCAGGGAAAAAGTTCCAGCCTATCTAGCCTCTCCTTATAACTCAAACCTTCCAGACTAGGTAGCATTCTGATAAATCATTTCTGCACATTTTCTAGCTTAATATTATCCTTTCTGCTCTGACTGATGAAAGCTAGCACGCTGAAAGCCTTCTTCACCGCCCTGTCTACCTGCGAGTCCACTTTCAAAGAGCTATAAACCTGTATCCCCAGATCTCTTTGTTCTGGGACACTCCCCAGGGCTCAATCATTGACTGTGTAAGTCCTGCCCTGGTTTGACTCACCGAAATGCAACACTCACATTTATCTAAATTAAACTCCCACCTACCATTCCTCAGCCCACTGGCCTAGTTGATCAAGATCTTGCTGTATTCCTGGATAATCTTCTTCTCTGTCCATTATAGCACCAATTTTGGTGTCATCCACATACTTACTAACCATACCTTCTAAATTCTCATCCAAATCTTTTGTATAAATGACAAATAACAGTGGACCCAGCACTGATCACTGTGGCACACTGTTGGTCATAGGTCTCCAGTTTGATAAAACAACCCTCTACTACCACCCTTTGTCTTTCACCTTCAAGCTAATTTTGTATCCAATTGGCCAGCTCTCCCCGGATCCCGTGAGATTGAACTTTACTCAACAACCTACCCTGCGGCACAGATCTTGCTGAAGTCGGTGGAGACAATGTCTACCGCACTGCCCTCATCTACTTTCTTGGTCGCCTCTTCAAAAAACTCAATCAAATTTATGAGACACGATTTCCCATGCACAAAACCACACTGACTATCCCAAATGAGCCCTCGCTCTCCAAATGCCTGAAGATCCTATTTCTTAGAATCCCCTTTAACAACTTACCCACCACAGACATTCTGCTCATTGTTCTGTAGTTCCCAGGCATTTCCCTGCAGCCTTTCTTAAATAATGGCACAACATTAGCCACCCTCCAAAGTCCTGGGATACACTTCATCAGGTGCCAGGGATTTATCTATCTTAACGCATTTTAAGACTTCCAGCACGTTCTCTTCTGTAATGTGGACTCTCTTCCACATATATACTGATGCAGGCAGAGACACAGACAGGAACATACACACAGACTGATACAGACCAATACA